CAAAAGTTACAAGCAATTATGTGGCGCAAGAGCTAGGTAAAATGGCATGTAATTGGCTGCGGCTAAAAGTTGTACAATTTGCAGAAACAGTCGAAGCACTCACGAGGAGCAAAGTCATCATTGGAGTGCAAATAAAATGGTTTCAAGTGTGCGTAAAGTAAAAACGCACAGTACGTGGTGTGGGGATAGTAGATGAATGCGGAGAGTATCTTTGTTGTAGGTGACAGTAAAATATTGAATAATGACTAGTCGGTATTCCAGTGTGTAACATTGGGCAGTGGCTTTATTCAGTGGCGCGTCAAGTCTGCCACGTCACTGTGTTGATAAACGGACTTTTGTGGTTTTTTATATAGAGAACGCTTGCCAGGTGAAAGCCCACCACGTTCCGGAACACTGTGGTCGAAAGCTATGAACGGCCATTTACAGCTAGCAAAGTTTCATATAAGGCATTTGTTCAAGCAGTTATTCGCAGTCGGGCGAGCCTCTTTTGGCTAGACAAATGGCAGTCAGAGTCCAAAGTGGAGGTTGAGGTGTCGAGGAGGAAGTATGATTGTGATGGTAGGTAGAAGTTCCAGTGTATGGGGTCGCACCTTCTCCAATTATGTATATTTTCTTTGGTGTGAAGAATTGGTGTCTAGCTACCCTCACTGGGCATCGGTGGTTGAGGTGTTGGGTGCAGGTAGTTGGTTTTGTAGTGAAGCCATGGTCCAGTTAAGTCATTGTTGGTGATTTCGTCCGATCTCAGACGGAGGCAGTTGCTCACTTCGATCCCGGATGTTCACGACCTTAGAGAAAAAAAAGTGAGGAACAGGCTAAGAGAAGGCCAGAAAGGACAGTCATGGTACCAAGCATTGGAGAAATCCTACTTTAAGACATTTACTTGAGACAACTGGTGTACAATGGGTAACAGATATTGTGCTGAAAATGTTTTTGAATACGCAGCAGAAGGCATGGCCCAATGGACAAATTACTTTCATGAGGATGAAGAGCAGGGTTCCAGTAAGAGATTCACTAGGTATTAGCTTACTGCCTTACAATTCAACTGGAGACCAGAAAGTGGCTATATAATCACGAGTAGTTGCAATCGAGCTGGTCGAGCTGGGAGCGCCCTTGTTTTTGTGAGGGCGGGCGGCAGATAGCAGCGTATCCTCTGGAGTGCCGTATGCTAATGTTCAAACGAAACAAGCGATGCTCAAAGCAAAGAGCAGGCAGTTTGTCTCCATTATTTGGTCGACTGCCTCCGAGACCAAAATTACTCCTCAAGGTGATGTTCGCTTGGTGGAAAGCAAGCGACCAGTGCGTTATAGTCCCCGGCAAGGATGAATATATCAGCTCTTCTGGAGGAAAGTTTAAGTACAGGTAGCTGTTGGTGAAAATTACCTATAACTGCTTCCAAGCTGCAGCCCATAGGGGCTTGGGTGGAGACGATAAACAAGGTAAGCTTAACGTCTTGACGCCATCTTAGGTTACATGAACCTCGTTTACTTACTGTCATGATAGCGAGAAAGATGTTGAACATCTATGTAGCTATATCTCAATGTAGGACATGTCCCACTGACACAGTGTTACCTGTAGTAGTGAGCTAGCCCAGGTGAAAAAAGTAAAATATTTACAAGCATAGAAAAAATCTCCATGTACTTACGATATATTCTTGGATGAACCACATGGAGTCCTTCACCAGCTCCGCCGCCTATTACGGATGGGCATCGTTTCGGAAGCTGCAGTTGGTGGATTAACGGGCTCCATGCGTTATAATCATTGAACGATTCCTTCGTCAGTTTCCGGTGAAGGCTTCGTCGAATCTGGCATCCGCAAAGTGCGCGTCCAGGAATCGTTTGAATTCCGACACCGAGTTCGCTTCTACTATCCGCGAGGGCAAACGGTTCCACATGTTCACTACTCGCCACTCAAGATACGAGGGATGAGCTACCAACTTGAGGTCAGGGACTACCAGTTTGTACTGGTGACCTCGTGTGCTGCTTGACGCACGGACATGGAGCAGTGGCCTCAGCATCGGATAAGCACCTAGATGCAATACCCGATGGGTCATGATGAGGTCCACTCGCACGCGGCGGTAGGCTAGAGTATACAGACCCAATTGTCTGCATCTTTCTTCATACGGCACACCCTGAAGACCGGGAATGAGCCGTGTGGCTATGTGTTGTACTCTTTCGAGCTTGTGTATCTCGCCTTTCGTCAACGGACAGTAGGCGGGTGAGCCGTATTCTAGCACCGGTCGTACAATGGATGTGAACCTCGTAGTCTGACAGCACATGGCCTGCTGTTGACTGGGTTCCAGCCAAGCGGGGCTGTTTCAGCCCATGCACTACGTGCAATCCCAACACCAGCTTGACCAGTGGCGGCAGCTCTGGTTCTCCAGAAAGCCGCGAGTGGTATTTGGCGTCAGGGTTTACCGGAGAGGCCATGGGGATGACGGAGCTAGTGCATTGTATCGGGTCTCTGAAAGGCAACAGATATTTACCGAAACCTTTTCAAGAATACGAGGCAGACATGCTTGTTGTTAATTCTGCAGCAATGTTTGAACATTAAGGGCTGCATGATACTACCCGGGTACCCAGGCCAAAGTAGCGGGTTGTCTTATGATTGTCATATCCCGAGCCTGTGATCAAAGATCTAACTAACAAGGCAGCAGGGTGATATGAGGGTGTCGCGACCCTTTTGTAACCGGTGACCAAATAGAGGGTTTACACGCCTTGCGGTTTGTGATGTACCAGGGGCCCAACGCACCCTTGAAGAAATTTCTCTCAGGGAGGGGCGTGTCACAGCCGCCACGGCGCAGTGTGGTTAAACAGACATTGTGGCTTTTGATGGGGACAACTCTTGCCAAGCGAAAACCCCTCACGTCCTGAAACACTGCCGCCAAACCATTGGCTGGAACGGGAAAACCCGACACACCCAGCTGGCACCACGGAGGTTATTCGTCAAGCCAGCTTTGAGATCCGGTGAAGTTCCGCATAGGTGTTGTTGCTTGGAAGATATCTGTGACTACCACAAGCAATAGCGATCGCTATACCACGCACTAACCTTCCGATTCTCCTGTGTATGTGTCTTTTGCACAGCTTCAGTGAACACTTCAAACTTCAAGGTGGAAGGTGCCTGCACGAGCGTTTCCTGTGTGGCCGCACCGTAATCCACTGAACATGGTTTAACGCGTCTTCTTTGGGATTCATAATGTGTTTTCGGATTAAAACGACTGGAGGCACGTTTAAACGTAGTTGTTCTGTACCTGTTTACATATAGGTAAATTACAGACTACCTTAAACGCTCCGGAGGGGAGCCCATAAAAACGGTTCCGTCGGATTCTACCTTTAGTTCATAATCCTCGTCACTACGTTGGATACGCATTGCTTTGTCTAAGTCAGCTGTGGGCAAGCAAGGAAAGTAACGGCTTACCTGTGCGGCGTGTAACGTCAACACGGTGACATGGGTCACCGGACTCCGGTCGGCGGTGTTGACTAAACGCATTATGGTAGTCATGTACCGATGCAGAAGTAATAATGGCGCGCTCGCTATCTCCCACCAGCCAAGTGCTACTTATAACTGTCCTAACCACACCAATCTCTTATAACAGCACGGCACAAGAGAACGGCGCTGGCTTTTCGCCTAAGTGAAAAAGCAACTCCCAATTTAAAAGTGGTAAACCATTCCAGAGAAAACAACCTAAACGCCTTTGTATTCAACAGGATACAATGGTAAGAAACATTACGTATACGCTGGATACCATGGGAAGGCAGATGGATGCCCCAAATATGTACGTGGTGGAATGGCAGGGTGATCTGTCAACCGTTAGAACGGAATAGGACGACTCAGCTCCAGCAAAGGAACTGGTGTTACATACCAGGTGCGTTTATTTAGTCATCGAACAAAATTTTATATTGGATAAAATACGGAAACAGCAATATACCGTTTCCTGGTCATATTTGCTGGCTTATCAGCAAATGGTTTGCGGAAAGTGTGCATCAAAGGGATAACGACCAATGACGTCTTATCCTCCATGCAAATGCATTTGCACTCTATGTCGGACACCTTGCTACATATATCGTTGCTGCTGATCCTACGCGCTATGAACACCTGCAAATTTGAGGAGCGTGTGCTGTGCGTATACGAAACACGCAGCTCAAGAAACGCGTGGCAATCAAGTCCGGTGGCAGTGTAAGTCTCGGCGTGCACAGAAGTCACACAGTGTAGTGTACCGGCTACTAGCAATACGTTGTCAGGGCTAGCATTTCTGATGATCGTTCCGTTTAGTCTAAACCCCAGCGCGTCACTACTTCAAAATAAGTAAAGGTCCTCCTCGTGGTAAGTGTAGCTTGCGGCGGATACAGATTCTGGATACTGCTGCAAGACGCATCTGCAAAGCTGTGCCGCAGGGTTAACGGCGTTTTCACTTGTCTCTTTAGAACGTGATTGTGCGACTCAAAAGAAAATGCAGAGAACGCATCCAGTGCGCGATGAGTAACGACATCCTCATACAGTTAGGTGAGTGGATGCAGATTATAGTTCATTTCCGCGGCTCCATGTAGTTGGAAGAACCTTCTAACAAGAACAAACGACCATCTTCCTGAGGACCTGCGGTAACCTTAAGTGCAGTGAAGATGACATAATAGGTAGATACTTAAATGCAAATCCAGAAAGGTACGCTAATATGCTGGTGTTAAAACACTGCGCAACACAGCGGGACCGGCGTACAATACGAACTGACGAACTTGGTTTGCCTTCCAGTAGCAAACAGTGGAAATGCTTCGGCAACGCCTTGTGAAAACCAAAGGCCAGGATTACCTGGTTTCCATCAGATTAGCATCGATTGCGGTTACGGCATTCGTGTTCAGACTGTATGGACTAAATCTAGTTCCAAACAACCGCAAGTTTACCAAACGTCGAATGACGCTCAAACAACCAGCCTGCGTATAAACAAGTAAAAACTGAGCCATCACATAGATGTCTAGGGATTTGCAGGGGCGTGCTGCTGCACGACACGTAATCGGAAAAATTCATTGTCACGCAAACGACATGTTGTTCGCGGAACCGTCACATTTCCAGCGAAATAGAGCACACGCTGAACACATTTGTCGCAACAACCGCAACCGGAGTGGTGCTTTCATATTTGCACAAAACGCGATCTGGAGCGTCGCATATGACGACCGCCAATGACAAAACATTACGTGCAATATTACCTAGAAGCAACACTCCGTCGTGTAATACCGTATGCAAATCTTGAATCGATGGCGCAAGGAGCTGGTAAACGTTGCTGAGTTTACTTTTTCCACTGTGGATATCAACTACAATGGGGTAGATAAAATCGGGCAAATGGGACGACATAAAATAGGCCATACGGGAAGGTTTGATGACTTAAAGGGGTAATCCATCTACGTGCAATTGAATACGGATTTTCTGCGACGCTGATGGTGTGTGAAGCACGTAAGCATGAAATAATCCCGATGTAAAGCCTACATGTTCATAGCCTCCGGAGTTCACAACATTCGTAAGCTTTATGTTCGCATCAATGTTCGGCAAGCGTACGACATGTCCGCAATGTAAGCGCCAAGTTGCTCGAGAAGTGACTTGACTGAGGACGCTGATTGATTGAATTTATGCGCCCAACCTTTGAGACCAATAGTTGAGGGCACAATTATGGCCACAGAGAAACCTTACGAGGCGTACTTTTCCATTAAATCCAACAACGGCACGGCATCAACATCATGGACATGGAAGGGAAAATATAATTTTAATTTCTATTTCGTCGGCATGTTCATAGGTACTATCGTTTGCATCGATATAATGTCGGTTATCGGATAACTGCACATCCGTACTTAGCGCTGCGACTGAAAGCATTACACAGCATCGTGTGCTACCTTCACAGAGCATGCACATATGATCGTTGTTACTCTGACTAGCTTTTGGATGGAGTCATTGGGTATGATACTTTTTCAAAGGTAAGTAAAGCCGGCGACGCAATGTGCGTTCGGAGAGAAGAGTAAACCCACAATTTCGTGAGGTTGTTTTATAACGCATGGCGTGTATATACTAAGAGGGAGCTTGTTGCGAATAGCATTCTTGTGTAAAATGAAACTTACTTGCCTACGTGATCAAGGGAGTTATCAGGAATTGTTCTCCACCGGTACGTAAGCAG